AAATAAAAATCATTTTTAACTTAAAATAAATAACTTATCCTATTGTATTTTTTTAAAAGAAACCCTTTTTTAAATCACCTAATTTTATTAATAACTAAAACCTTTTAATAATAATCCCCCCTTTTTTATAAAAACTTAATTAAAAACAATTTTATAACAAAAAATCATTTTTTCATAATTTCAATAGCTTATATTAATAGTAAAACCTTTTTTTCTTAACTATTTAATTTAATGAAAACTTTTTTTTCATGTAATATAACTTTATTTACTTAATAGGATCTCTTAAAAATAAATTAGCAACCCAATTACTTCATAACCTTGATCTAATTTTCACTAAAATAAAATCTATTTAGAAACCTTTCTTAAAAATCTAATAAACTAATATAACTTTTCTTAAAATCAGCTCATAAAAACTCAACTTTTTCCTAAAACTAATATTCACCTAGTGTAATTAATTTCACCGATAATATAATTTTCTCATAATAATCAAATAATCTTTTTTCTTAAAATTAATTTGTCATCTAAACTCCTCACTAAATTAATAAAAAACTAATTCACCCTTTAAAATAATTTCACTTAAAATCAATCCAACCTTTTCTCAAATCGATGTCACCTTAAGATTAAAATTAATTTCTCCCCAAAAGCAATCAATTAATCAAGTCAACCCTCCCTAATTCAATCGTGCACGCTTCCGTTTCTGATCCGTTCACATATACACTATTCACACACTTAGCGCTTTCATGCGTGTGTATGTCTTTTATTTCCCGCATTTTACTTATCGCAATTTATTTTACAGCAATTTACCTTTATCGCATTGCATTCCGTCCAAAGGAAGAACCTACACATGATTCAACACTTGTGTGTAGTGCACATCATTCGCATCATACTCCCCTATGATCCTTGATCCCATTCAAGTCGATCTCTTAAGATATATCCTACCCCATAAGGAGGACCTTTGTCTTTATCTTTACAACTTAGACAAACACATACAACTCAACAACAAATATTCAAACACAATAGATAAATAGATGTTAATCATCTTAAGTGAGATAGAATCTCCACCCCACAACAAAATACAATCTCTTACACTTGTGGCGGTTAAATCTCCCTTAAAATAATAACTCGTCTCTTTCTCCTAAAATCAATCAATTAACTACCCTAAATCCGTAGGAACTTTGACCACAGTTAAAGAACTCCTCAAACCTTTTAGGGGAACTACAGATACTCTGATTCCACTCTCGTAAGGATATGTATGCATAAGATGCGATATCTTATCGAGTATACTTAGAAATAAACCCCTAGGTCTTTTACCCTTAAGCAGATAATCCATAGCAATAAACAAACATTAAAACAACAGGTTCCTGTAGAGTACTACAAAAACTTAGGATGCTAGCACCTTCCCTAAGTTTAACCGACCCCCGAACCTATAACTCTCTAGCTTGCATTAGCATTGCATTGTGGGTATTTCGATCTTTATCCCTTTCTTTGGACAAATCAAAGTTCGGTTGCAAATGAATAAGATTCAAACTAATCAGTAGTTTGGTATCCAAATTTCACCATGACAGACCTATCTGAGGTTGATGTGTTGGAGCTGTGTTGATGTGATGCCAGACCTCATGTCCTGACATCTGATTTCTGGAGTTTGAAGGAGTTGTAATCTCTGATGATCTATAGCTGCATTTTATTTCTGATATCTTTATGTTTGCAGGTTGTGCAAAATTTACATGTAGCTTGTGCCTTGTTTTTGTGGTTTTATTCCTCTCTCTAGCAAAGGATGTTTTAGCCAAAATTTGCCAAAGGGGGAGATTGTAAGTTTTGTGGTTTTTAGATTAGCAACACTTTAGTAAAACATGCTGCCAACAAGATGTTAAGCCAAATGTTCTGCTATGACAGTCAGACATCATGTTCAGCATAATGTTGTGACATGTTCCAAGACATGTTATACCAGAAAGTTAGGGCAGGACTATTTTGGTATTTTTAGTGTGAGTTTTGAGTTTGTTTGAATTCACACGTTTGCGTTATCCAAGAAGGGATATTGTGGGAACTTCTGTTTTAACATATTGTGTTGGTTTTCGTAAAAAGGGACTTTGAACCTTTTTAGGAAACTTTGTATTTTGTTTCTATTTTTGTGCAGGAGATTATGCTTATGAGTTCAAGCTGATTCCTGATGAGTTGCGTTTCAAGAGACCAAGCCCACGAGTTCTGAAAACTATTTAAAGAGAAGACCTAAACCTAATGCATTTTACAGCTTTCACTTTTGTAAAAATATGGGGAGGTTTTAGAGTCTTAGCTTTTGAGAGTCTATTTATTATGCCTTTGTAAGTCACCCATGTATCTCCTGATACATTAAGATAGACTGATTGTATGTTGTTTATTGTTCACTCATGAGCTTTTAAGCAAGAGTGTATTGTCCTTAGTTTAAAGCTTTTAAGCAAAACTAAGTATTGTTTTCGGAAGAAGTGTTCTTCTATTTTGGGTTATTGTTGAATTGTCACTAGTTTGTGACTGTTAGAAAGTGAGAGGGGGATTTCATATCTAGAGGGTTTCTAGGTAGAAGTTGTACAAGGTAGTGATTAGGAGAGAAGTTGTAAATGGGGGAGTTTAGCTTTGAACTAATGCTATCATAGTGAATTTCCTTACTGGCTTGGATGCCTCCAGATGTAGGTGATGTTGCATCGATCTGGGCTAACAATTGACTGTGTTGTTTATCATTCTGCAATTTAATTTTGCATATTTTACTGTCTGATATAATTTTTCTGTCAGACAAAAGATATTGTAACATTTGTCTTGATATTATGTTATGATGTGAGGACGTCAGTATTAACATGTGTTAGAATGCCATAATTTAAATATGTGATGACTTCAACTTTGTTCGTAACTAGGCAATAAAACTTATAAGCATCTGTACTATGGTAACCTATAAGTAACATGACTTTTCTTCTGTCATCCAATTTCTTTCCAGTAGCATCTGGTATATGTTTGTAACATACAAAACCAAACACCTTGAAATGGCTAACACTTTTCTTTCTTTCAGTCCACTTCTTAATGGGAATTACTTCCTTTAACTTCTTTCTTGGGCATCTATTAAGCACATATGCTTACGTTGCAATTGCTTCACCCCACAATGTGTGAGGTAAATTATTTTCTTTCAGCATGCTCTTTGTCATGTCAAGCAAAGTTCCATTTCTCATTTCAACAAGGCCATTATGTCGTGGAGTGTATGAAGCAGTCACCTCATGCTCAATTCCATGCTCCTCATAAAAATTCTTAAACTCAGTTGCATTATACTCACCTCTACCATCGATTATGAGGATCTTCATCCTTTGTTCACTTTGATTTTCATCCTTTACTTTGAACTTTTTAAACTCAGCAAAAACATTGTATTTGAACGTTATGAGTGCTACCCATATCATTCTTATGAACTCATCCATAAATGACACAGAATACTTATTTCCTCCAAGTGAGTGCATCCTAAATGGGCCACATACATCATAATGCACCACACTCAAAGCATGATTTGCTCTTAGAGGCATTTTTGGTGAGAATGACAATCTTGGTTACTTTCCTCTCATGCGTAAATCACATGATTTCTCTGGTGCCACGATCTTTGGAATTACATGCACCAGATTCTTTGAACTCAGATGTCCTAAGCTTCTGTATTTCATAAGACTTCATCTGATTTGTGACAATAATCACTATGGAGATATAATCAGACACTTTCTCATTGTTCTTCATGCTGAGATTGTCATATTGCTTGCGTAGGGACTGCAACTTTACTTTCTTCGCTGATACGTCACCACCATAACACCGCACCAGTGTATCATACGCCGCCTTTGCCGTCGTCAAATCAACAATCTTCTCAAACACCTTTATATCCAACTAATTGATATAGAACAACACCTTATAATCCTTCTTTCTCGTTTCATGTTGCACGTTTCTTTGCGCTTCTATTGCATCTGTCATTGACGAGACCAAGAACATCTTAAGTTACAAACAACACACACATATGAATCGACCACCGATTCCGTTCTTTTCGTCGAATACTATAAGCTTTGTGTTCAAGCTACCGTTTATGTCGTTCATCTTCGTTCTTGTGCAAGTCACTCAATTCTCACTAACACTCGTGTTTCCCAAACTCTGAGAATCAAGACATGTGATTCTCTTCAATTTCAAACTTCAATTCAACGCGAATTTCATAAACGAAATCAATCACACACCTCACTACACTCGTGTTTTCTGTGAATCAGAACCGGAGCTCTGGATATCAATTGTTGGAGTTAACAATCAACTCCTTGAAGCACAAGAATGAAGATAATGAAAATGAAAGAATTTAAGAGAATTTGCGCAGAAAGAGAGAGAGCACAACTAACTTTCTCAAAAACTCAAATTCAGAATTCTCAATCTATTACAATTTGTAACTAACTTTGAGTTTTATATAATAATTCAAATTCAAATGCAAATTAAATGAAACTCAAATATAAACGTAAATAAAACTAACACTAACTTAAATTGGAATGAGTTTAATTGATATGCACCGTCATCTAATATAAATTTATCAATTTGTCATGTCATATTAATAACTTAAAATTTACCATCTTATGTGAAGGGATACATAAGGGTGATTGATTGACACTATAAAATAATTTTATAGCATACCAATTAAATATAATTAAAATTATATTTCAACACACATTACTTGATTTCTTAGCTAATCAAACGGCCCCCTTTTAGAAATATTAATTTTTAAATGATAAAATAAATTACCACCATTAATTTATTCCATTAAAGAACAAAAAGTTTCATCTATAAACAAATTATCACTGTGAATATTATCCTTAAAAAAATGAAAGAATTACATAAAGTTGAACCCGGGTGAGAAAATTAAGCTAGTCATCAGAGTCTAAGGATAAGGTAGCAATAGATAAAGAAAACTTTTGGGTGTATGAGAGAGTGATTTCGTAAATTTGGGTTCTGAAAATCGAAAACGCTAACCTACAACAATGTTATCTTCTTCGCTCTCATTCCTTCATTCTTGCACATTTCCCTCTTCTTCATCTTCCTTGTTCACAATTCCAACTCCAAGTCCCAATTCTCCCTCTTCTTTATCTTTTGTGGTTGAAGCCAATTCTTCTACCCGAAGGGAAGACAGAACTGCTCGCCATGTTCGTATCAGGAAGAAGGTAACTCCTCTTTCTAACTCTAATTCTTCTTTTCAGACCTAAATTATCTTCTTTGCTGATGGTTATTACCTTTAATAGGGTTTGTTTCACGGCTTTTGATTTGTCTTTGATTCTAATGTATTTGTCTTTTGATTTCTACTCTTTTCTGATACTATAAATCTACATTGTATACCAGATGTTTGTTTGAATGAGGATTTGATAAATATGATTTGAACTCAAGTGATTTATGTTTGAATGTTTTTATTCCAAAAGCAACTGTTATGGAAAATTTAGTCTATCAAGCACAGACATGTCTAGGAGTAAGTGTGTCGTGATTACAGACACATGCGCGTCCGACACTTGTATGAGCCTGTGTCATACTAGTGATGAAGGCGTGATGTCATACAAGTGTCGGATTTTTCAAATTATCGAGAGTGTCTGTGTCTATGTTGTGCTGTGTCTTGGTTTCTATGTCAGAGTCCATGTTTCATAGAACTTAGTGTTAGTCTGTTTAACCCAGAGCTGCTTTTATCAGCTCTGCTCAAGGCACAAAGTTTGGGGGAAAATCAAATTTTACTTGATAATGGTAAAAAATATGTATTTTTACTAATGTCATGTTTGACAGAACCCTCTGGTTTTGCTTTGTTACAGAATATGGAGTGATTATTTAGTTGACCATGTGTAATCAATGCAAATTCATAACATGCCATCCAGATTAAATGTGATTAATGTGAACGTGATCGCAACTAAACTAATAAAAATAACAATCAAGTCTTATCTGACTAAGTGAGTAAACAAACAAATTTGTAAAATTGTGATCTTTGTGAAGAAGTTTATATTTTACTGTCCAATGATTTAGGAATAGAAGAAATGAAAGAAAGTAACAAGGGAAGATAGAGGAACAGGCATTTAGATTACTTCATGTTTTATGATCATGACAAATGTGCGTTATAAAGTTTTCTCCACCATTTCCTCGTTTACCTCTCCTTCTTGTTAGTGTTAACATTCAAATATTGTTTTTATGTAAAGAGAATACGGAAGTGCATGAGCGTGTTTTGTATACTCTAGTTCGTTCACTGCTGACTGCTGAGATGATCTCTGTTAGATTGGAAATCTGTTATTATGAATAATGCAGTGCGTTTTCTATTTTGGAATCATTTTTTGATATTTTAGGTGGAAGGAACAACCGAAAGACCAAGATTGTCTGTCTTCCGATCCAACAAGCATCTCTTTGTCCAGGTGATTGATGACACCAAGATGCATACACTTGCTTCAGTTTCCACAATGCAGAAGACAGTTGCTGAAGAGTTCAACTACACTTCTGGCCCTACAATTGTAAGTTTCTAAGACACTGTTACGGTTCGCTGTTACAATAAGTTCAACCAAGCAAATCATCTTCAAAAACTACTCAATATTTGCATTAGAACAGTTTCATCTTCACTTAAGACCTTCCTTTCATTATTGAACTTTAGAAATCTATAACTGAACATAGATATAATACATTTTTACATTTTTGTATAGTTAATGATGATCCTTATTCGTTCAAGTTGTCTGGTTCCAGGAAGTAGCAAAGAAGGTGGGTGAGATCATTGCAAAATCCTGTCTGGAGAAGGGAATAGCAAAAGTAGCCTTTGACCGCGGTGGTTATCCATACCATGGCCGTGTTAAAGCTATTGCTGATGCGGCTCGCGAATATGGCCTAGATTTCTAAAATCAGCACTCTCTTTGTATTTCATGTTTGATTTTGTAACTCAAGAACTTAACCAATTTTTTAATGACATTTCCTCACTTCCAAGTGACATTTTTATGGCTCAACGTCTCTTATCTATCCATTTTTAGTGCTTAGATGTATGCATCTGTTGCAATAATATTGATAGGGGCTTGCTTATTATAGAAGTGCCAAAATCTCAAATGACTGTATTGGAATATGTATCAGACCAGTCAAAATAGTCTTTCCATTATTTGGAATCAAGATTAAAAGTAACTTAACGAAACATTTTTTTTAAAGAATAAAATAACGTTTTTTTAAAGAATAAAATCACGAGGGTTCTCAAACTCAAAGCAAACGATATCTCATAGCACCAGTAATGCCAACTTGAGTGGCGCTAAAAGGAGGGTTTAGGCCGACACGTTCGCATCTTGCCCCTTGGCCTCGATTGGAAACAATTGCTACTTACCGGACAAAATAGTCTAACATTGCTTATGAATTGAGGCTAAGAGGAGTTAATATACAACACTCACATTCTTCGATTCAACGAGACATCTTTTCCAAAGAAAAATGATAGATTGATTATTCAAGTAGTTTGGTTATTATTCATGTTCTTATTATATATCTATAGTTTAACATATAATGTTTTTTGTTCGAAAGGAAAAACAGGAAGAGAAAGGATGAAAGATGTCATAAAAGTATCTTTTTGAACATCAACACAATGATAATTAGTTCTCTACAAACAGTCAAATACAAGAAAAACAGTTTATGCGTGATCTAAGCAGAAAGCATTCTTTCTAGACATGACCAGAAACATGCAACTTCCAAGTCACACTTCTTACAATTTTCAGGTTCAGTAGTGATGTCTTCAGAACATGAAAAATAACAGTTACATTAGTTTGTGTAGTAGTTCTACATGCATACAGACAGAACACAGCACATAAAGTATTCTGCTCAAGAGGCAGATATAGTTGGCTGAAATTCTTCATTTGGTCCCTTCAACGAAACCGAATCAGGCGAATTCTCAGAGCAGAAGTTGTTCTCTATGTTATCGGCCACCTTTGTCGTTGGCGAAGACGGATAAGGTGCTTTACTGCCCAATCTGTAATAAACAAACACGATGCAAATATGAAATGAGTTCTATATAAGAATCATACCAAAAAATTTGAAACTCTAAACTGATTAAATCAACCCATTTAACATGGCAGGTAGATAGTACCTGTCTCGCCGCTTCTCAAGAAACCTTTGAAGTGAATGTCTGCGTGCTATTGGAAATTCTGACAAGAAATATCAAGAAAAAACACGGACAGTTAAAACAGTTTCTGAATGCTTGAAGATGTAACCAGTTAAAAGATTATCATCTAATTTTAAAATGATAATGTGGAAATTCACACCTTGCAGCCTGCAGACTGAACTCTTCTTTGCAGGAAAGCAGAGTGCCTGCGATGAAGCAATATTATCAGTGGCAGCATGTGGAGAAGAGGGCCTTGAGGGAACAGGTGAAGGAACAGGAGATTGTTTCATGATACTCTTCGTTTCGGTAGACTTGGCAGTAGCAGCAGCCATGAGCATTATTTCTTGCACCTGTTAGTAAATTAGAGAAACTCAAAATATGATTTCGATTGTATCGTAACATGGAAAATAGAGCTTAATTTCAGCAATCATCTCAAAGTGAAGCTAGAACTACCTTTTCTGCTGGAATTCCGTTATAGATACAAATATTCCCGTTATAGAAGATGGTAAGCTGATTTGTATTAGGAAACGTCTCGTTCATTCTCGACGCTGCCATTGACCTAAAAGAGAGAGTAATAATAATAGTAGTAATAAACTAATAATGATAAACATGATAGATAAAATCAAATACAAAACATAAAATAACGCAGCGTGGCTGCAATTGAGACTACATCGACCGCATTTGACCTAGTTTTTCCACAATATGCATGTAGAAGCCTCCCAGCCCCTCTGAAACATATTTGAGGGAATAAGCCATTACAGGATCATCATCAAAACTTTTGTCCCTCTTCAATTTGGTTACACGCAACTGTCATCAAGTTATGCCTAAATCGTCTTTCTGTGTTAAATTTGTCCAAACAAGAAAGGCAAGTTATGCCGGCCTTGACAAACATTGTTATGTGCGAGACTACCAATGATTTCATACGAAACAGAACATAGAGTTCTTCTGACATACACATCTTAAGAAGAACGGACACCACACCAGATACCAGACACAACACCGACATCTATACTAATCTTAAAATGTGAAAATCATTGAATGTAATCAATCACATGTATTTTGGTCTGTATATGACCCTCAGACAAACACGTGTCGAACACCAGATTCGTCTTCGATTCCTACAGACAGATCTACATAGCTCTACAGCATGTTCCACCTAGTAGAGGATACTAGAATCATCCTAACTAACAAGTTCCCTCAACTCATTAGAACAATTCCAATTCAGAAAACTAAGAGTTTCACAATTATATTTGCAGTTATATCACACAAATTGAAACAATTTAAGGCACATAAAAGATCAATAACCAAAGACATGATTTTTTGATTTAAAACATCAAAAACTCACTTGTTTGCTGAGAAATTCATCATTGACCCATCATCCATATTGGAACTAACACCATCAACAGCAACAGGAGAAGATTCTAGAACCATAAACTGCTCTGGCTCAACCTTGACAGTAACACCATCCATTTTTTTTGTTGAAGAAATCCACAAATAGATCACCAAAATTCAGAGAAAAGAAGACTTGAAGGGAACAGCTTTGACCACAAATTCTGCAAAGTTTATCAATTTCAATGGTTTTAGAAAGCTGGTTTGATTCCTTTTGGAATATTGTAATGGCCAGCTATGATTATTTGCGGTTACTTTTAAGCAACATGTGTTTTTTATGGTTTCTATATTGGTCTATTTGTTTATGTTCCTTTAATGTTTCTTGGTTTCAATCCTGTCTGTTTCTAACTACAAAACTCTATAATATGCGGCAATATTTACCTTTCGAAACGTGTCCTAGATTGTTGTTGCTTTATATTTTTTCTTCTCTTTTTTTTTTTTTAAAGTTGTTTTTGTTTTATTAACTATTATGTTATGTATAATTTTGATTATCTATTTTGACTTCCTTATAAAATTAGTTTTAAAAAAAATTATTTCATCCTCTTATATTTACAATTTATTGATTTATCTATCTTTTGGTAATATGTGTCAAATCAATAATATAAGCAAAATATAATCGCTGATATTTTTTTTTTGCCGGGGATAAAACTCTCCTATTAATCATGGTTGAAGAAGGCTAGATGTATGAATTAGAGGTGGCAAAACGGATCCGGACAGTTGAGTATGTCTGTTTTGTCGCACTTTTATGCGTGATAGACAAAAGTTTTAGGCCTGCACCTTTTAATATATCTACAGTGTCCCGCCCCATTTTTTTCAGACGTTTGCAGGCACGGACACTAATATGAAAATTTGCAATTTTTAAATTTAAAAGGTGCAATGTCTGCGGATCCACCCACCTCACACTCTTTTTTTTTTGGGACAGATCAATGTTTTAGTCCCTGCCGGTTTTTGGTAAACAATCACTTAGTTTTAAGTTTATTTTTTAAAGGACCAAACTAATAAATCATGGGACAAGTTTGTGCTAAGTTTCTGAGAAACGAAAGTGTGCATTTCGTAAGACCCTATTACCCTAAAATGCAAAAATAAAACAATTTACACACATAGGGAATCACTCAAACAACAACATAAATATGCACGTAACACGAGTTATTCAAAACATGCATTATATTAAACACATGTCATCTCATGCTCGCCTACATATGATCATTATAGAGGAATAGTCAATTTAAAACAATTCAACAACTAAATATGTCTAACTACATCAACATAGTAACGACAATTGCCTTCAACATAAATAACATCGAAACAATAGCAAATAGCTAAACAAAATGTTCGTCCGCCTAGTGTTACAGATCAGATCAACGAAATATTAAATAAGCGCATTATACAAGAAAAAGAAAGAAGAACAACCTCAACTCCATCCTTCTGTTAAATATAATTCATTGTGTAAACAGATTAGATTTGATATCATATGATTAATTTGATATGATATGATTAGATATCATATGATTAGATTTGATTTCATATGATTAGATTTGATATCATATGATTAGATTTGATTTAGAATATTTTGGGCCTTTTATGTTTTGGGCTAGTGTAAACCTAAAACTATAAATAGGGTGCCTTGCTTTGTATTCTACATCACAACAGAACAGATTTCACAGTTGCAGTTAGCAAGTGAAAGTTCAATAAGAAATCCCACAGTTGTGGGTAACACATTCTCTCCAAATACTTCTTCTCTCATTCTTCTCTTTCTTGTTTGTTATTCTTCTTCTCTTTTGTTGTTCTTAATAATTACTTGTTATTACCATCATTATCATATAATGGGTTTGTTCATCAATCTTGAGATCAAGATTGAAGGGAATTCTTCATAGGGTGTGAGGTGAATTTCCAACATCTGGTATCTAGAGCTCCGGTTAAGAGATTCAAGGAAGGAAGATAGTGATGGCGATGAACTATCCAAACGGCAACTTTCCGGCGACCCTGCCAATTCTCAAGAAAGACAATTATGAGAATTGGTGCAAGCAGGTTAAGGTGATCTTCTGTTATCAAGATCTTTGGGATCTTGTGAAGGACGAAGTAACATCGCTGGTGGAGAATGCAACGGAGGCGGAAAAGGCTGCGCACAAAGAATTGAAGAAGAAGGATTATAAAGAACTCTTTATAATTCATCAGTGTGTTGATCCTGATAACTTTGAAAAGGTTAGTGATGTTGATTCAGTAAAAGAAGCATGGGAGATTCTTGAAAAGTCGTTTGGAGGCGCAAAGAAGGTGAAAGAGGTGAGGTTACAAACTCACAAGAGAACCTATGAGTTGCTTCAGATGGAAGACAACGAAAGCATTATAGTTTTCTTCACCAGAGTTACAAGGTTGGTGAATCAAATCAAAGTATGTGGAGAAACGCTGACGACGAAAGCAGTTGTCTCAAAGATTTTGAGATCGTTGGCTCCAAAATTCGACCACGTGGTAGTTGCCATAGAAGAGTCGAAAGATCTGTCAGTGTTGACGAAGGAAGATCTTCAAGGGACTCTTGAGTCTCATGAACAGAGGATGGCTGAGAGAGCTGCAGGAAAGTCAAAAGATATGGCTTTGCAGGCACAAACGGAAAAGGAGAGAAAATGCAAAGGTAGCTGGAATGGCAACAAAGGAGGAAACCAGTCGAATCAAAAGAAACCTTGGAACCAAGGCAACCAAAGAGGTGGTGCTGCAGGTAAAGGAAGAGGTGGTGATCGAAAGACAGACAAAAGCCACATTCAATGTTTCAATTGCCAGAAGTATGGTCATTATGTTAGTGATTGTCCAGAAAAGAAGAGAAATCAAGAGACTGATGCAAAGCTGGCGAAACATGAAGAAGAAGAAATGTTGCTAATGGTCACAACAAACGATGAAGAAAGATTCCAAGATCAGTGGTACTTGGACTCAGGATGCTCATCACACATGACTGGAAGGAAAGATTGGTTTGTCAACATGAAGCCCTCGTCGAAGAATACGGTGAAGTTTGCAAATGACAACACTCTAGCAGCTGAAGGTGTTGGTGATGTTCTGATTATGAGGAAAGATGGCAAAAGGTCAACAATTTCCAATGTGTTGTACATACCAGGCATGAAGAGTAATTTGCTCAGTATAGGGCAGCTTGTCGAAAAGAACTACAAGGTAGTTGTCGAAGACAAGATGATGAGAGTCCTCGACGCAGGTGGTAGACTAATCTTGAAGGCTCCAATGTCTCAGAATAGGACCTTCAAGATTGGACTCAATGTGATGGAGCACAAGTGTTTAGCAACAGCAGCCACTGAAGTCGAAATAGAAGTTCGACAGGAACCAGTTGCAGATGAAGCAGGTTCAAGCAGACCTTGACGAACTAGACACATGCCTGCAAGGTTGCAAGAATGTGTAATCACATAAGATGATGTAGTCGATGAAGAGGGTGAGCTGGTACGTTATGCTTTCTACGCAGATGTCGAACCATTCAATGCAGCTGAGGTATTGAAAGATTCGAAGTGGGTGAAAGCGATGATTGAAGAGTTAGAGTCCATCAAAGGCAATGATACCTGGTCACTTGTCGAATTGCCGCAAGGCAAGAAGGAAATTGATGTGAGGTGGGTTTACAAGGTGAAGGTAAATCCTAAAGGAGAAGTAACTCGGCACCAAGCGAGACTTGTGGCGAAAGGATTTCTTCAGAAGGAAGGAATCGACTTCGATGAAGTATTCGCACCTGTTTCTAGAATCGAAACAATCAGGTTGGTTGTTGGTCTAGCAAATATGAACAACTGGCACACATGTCAGATGGACGTGAAGTGGGCCATGATGAATGTAGATAGTTTAGACACAATGAATTAGGTGGTGTGTTAAATATAATTCATTGTGTAAACAGATTAGATTTGATATCATATGATTAATTTGATATGATATGATTAGATATCATATGATTAGATTTGATTTAGAATATTTTGGGCCTTTTATGTTTTGGGCTAGTGTAAACCTAAAACTATAAATAGGGTGTCTTGCTTTGTATTCTACATCACAACAGAACAGATTTCACAGTTGCAGTTAGCAAGTGAAAGTTCAATAAGAAATCCCACAGTTGTGGGTAACACATTCTCTCCAAATACTTCTTCTCTCATTCTTCTCTTTCTTGTTTGTTATTCTTCTTCTCTTTTGTTGTTCTTAATAATTACTTGTTATTACCATCATTATCATATAGTGGGTTTGTTCATCAATCTTGAGATCAAGATTGAAGGGAATTCTTCATAGGATGTGAGGTGAATTTCCAACACCTTCAACTTCTAATCAGCTACTCATTTACCTACTTGTCTGTACCTCCAAAGGAGCACAGAACCACCCAAACAACAAAGGGGTGAGAATACGCTCATAATATATAATGGTGTAAAAACATGCAAGGGTAACCAAAACAAACATCAACAGTTATACATTACAAGTCATTTGCATATATCACTAAAGTATTCTCATTCACCAACATAAACATGATTATCCAGATACGTATGCAAATAATGAATACAAATGTACTTAACACCACGACTCAACAATGCATGCGGTACCATTATGGACAACACAAGTCCATCTAGCTCTTGAATGTCCACCATAGGACCAGAGCTCACCAAATCGTTACCATCACCATAGGTAACACTTCACCAATTCCCATATGGAAACATCTACTCGCTTCTTAATCCTTACCATCAAACCATAAGACACTAAAATTCGTTTCTATCACCATAAGCAACGCTTAACTAATTCCTCATTGGAATTAACTACTCACTCCTAAATCCATACCACCGGACTAGAGCACAATAAAACTGGACTAAATCTCGTACACCATGATGCATGATTCATATAACATGCAATCTAACAAAACATGATCACCATGAATTTATCACCATAATAAACAACAACATCATTCTTCACATCAAACAAGCGAATTAAACCAATAAACATAATGAACAACATCAAACACCTCCAAAGTGACCAAACAGTAGCACCACGTCAAATATATATTCACATACAACATTCAATCATGTTAAATCATCTCAACATTGATTCATCATCAAGCATGTACAATAAGTCAT